AATGGAGTGTTTAATCTCCTGGATACCTGTTTGAATCTGTTTTATGGATTCCATTTCTTTCCTATGTTGGATATTTATTTTTTCCATTTCTTTCTCATGCTGAGCCTTCATGGCTTCTATCATGGTCCTGAGCTCATCTATTTTTTTGTCAATTTCTACTCTAGAGTCTCGAATCACGACTTCCATTTTGCTCACTATCTTTATGTTTATCTGGGAAATTATTTCTGTTTTGAGTTTTTCTAGAGCCTGCTTGATCTGTTTTGTTACTTCCTGTGCTTTGAGTTCAGGGTGTCCTGGTGGTTCACTATCAGCCCTTTCATCCTCATTTGCCCAACTGTTTGCCATTGGGGAACTGGAAGTCTGTCTTTGTGTCTTGCTAAAGTGTTTTCTCATTTTTATTTTTGTTGTCCGGTTGTCTTTGGTTTAATCTCTGGGTTATCACCCACATCTTCCTTATATAGTTGCGCCCTAGCTTCTGTGTCTGTAACTACCCACAGACATTCTCATCTTCATAACATCAGAGAAAACAGCTCATCAAATCAACGGCAATGCTTTATCCCAACTGATACAATCAGCAACACATTAAGATCAAGCACAACTTGGAAACTGACCACCTGTGGTCGTCACTAGTCTATCACCCTTAAATCATTTGAATTAAATTGAAATCAAGAAGTAGTCCAGAACATGTCTGTAGTGAACAAAATTTCAATATAGTGTATTTACCATTTAATGGCTCAGACAGAGTAAGGATGCAAGACCCCTGGTCTCAGTTAGCTGATGGCTGAACCCCATGATGCTGACTGACCTCAGGCTGCAAGGCCCAGATTGCGTTCCCAACCTTCTGAATGGTTGAACTCCACACTGTTCTACTACAGGTTTCCGTTGCCCTTTCTTTAAAGATGTTCAAAGTTGGGAACTCAGAAAAATACCCTTGATGGCCACCTCTGCCTCTGCAGAGTGGGTCCAAAGACTGGCACAGTCAGGAGATCTGAGAATGCATGTGTGTGTGGGGGAGGTGGGGGGTGTAGAGGGAGTTATGGGGGTTCAGGGGTGCCCACATGGCTATCTTTCTGGCACTGGAGTGATGGTTGCTGGGGTGGGAGAAGGCGTGGCTCTCCTCAAGCTCATTTATTTTTTTTGTGAGTTTCTGTTCTAGAGTCTCGGTCATGACTTCCATTTTGCTCACCATCTCTATGGTTAACTGGGAAATTATTTCTGATTTGAATTTTTCTAGAGCTTGATTGATCTGTTTTGTTACCTCCTGTGGTATGGGTCCAGGGTGTCCTGCTTGTTCACTATTGGCCTTTTCATCCTCATTTGCCCTACTCTTTGCCATTGGTGAACTGGAAGTCTGTCTTTGTGTTTTGCTTAAGTGTTTTCTCATTTTTATTTTTGTTGTTGGGTTGTCCTTGGTTTAATTTCTTGGTTATTACTTAAATTTTCCTGATATGGTTGTGTTTTAGTGTTTTAGTCTCTGATGACTCATAGACATCCTCATTTTCATAATATTGGAGAAAACAACTGATTAAATCAATCACAATCCTTTATTGCAATTGTTACATTCAGCAGCCCAATAGGATCAAGCACAGCTTGCAAATTGACCACTTGTGGTAGTCATTAATCTATCACCTTTAAACATGTGAATTAAATTAATATCAAGAAGCAGCCCAAAATATGTTTGCAGGGAATATGCTTTTCAACATAGCATCTTTACCATTTAGCATGGGGGCTTAGACTGAGTTAGGATGAGAGGAATAGATAAATGAAAGAATTGTAGAAGGTTTCAAGTGAAGCCAGGGGATGTAGAATGATCATACTATCTTTATGAAACTATTAAATTCAAAGGGGATAGACAGAGTGCAGGAATAAGGACAAGGATATATCCCCTTAACAGTAACAGGGGCTTGCCTTCCCTTGAAGCTATGGAGCCATGAGTGAGTTAAAATGACAGGAGAAAAGAACATAAAGAAAAAAAGAAAAAATGGTAAAAGAAGAAGTCTGAGTTAGGGCAGCAGCAGGAATAAAAAGGGAGATGAGGGATAATATGTTGGAGCAAGAGACTGAGTTGGAGAGAGAGGACAGGTAAAAGAAAGAAATTATAGGGTGTAATGAGGAAAAGAAAAAAAAGAATTTGAAGGGCCTCTTTCAAACTATGTCTCTGTTCTCCTATTATACCATGTGTACAGCCATGTGCAGAACCAAATCCCCTGATCTCAGCTAGCCAATGGCAGGTCCCCGTGACTCAGATTGACCTCAGTCTACAAGGCCTAAATTGAGTTTCCCAACCTGCAGAGTTGAACTCCACTCAGTTCTATTACAGGTTTCCCCTGCCCTTTCTTTAAAGATGTTCAAAGTTGGGAGCTCAGAAAAATACCCTTCATGACCACCTATGCCTCTGCAGAGTGGGTCAAAGGACTGGCCCAATCAGGAGGTTTGAGAATGGGTGTGTGTGGGGGGATCAGGTCATGGGGGTATTTCTAGGGTGCCCATGCAGTACCTTCCCTACTCGATCTGGCGGCTCGCAGTTTGGGAGGTTGTGTACCCCCTGGGTGAGCCTGAGCAGGTGGCCAGAGAGACTGCCTCTGGTCCTTCCTTACTGGATCTGGTGACATGCAGTCGGGGAGGTTGTGGACCCACCAGGTGGGCCCAAGAAGGCTTCCAGAGAGACCTCCTCCGGGTCCTTCTTTACTGGATCTGGTGGAATGCAGTCCACTATTCCAATTTTTTGCAGGATTTTTTTTTTTAATCATGAATGGGTGTTGAATTTTGTCAAATGTTTTTTCTGCATCTTTCAAGAGGATTATATGGTCTTTGTCCTTGACTCTGTTCATATAGTGTATTACGTTTATTGACTTACATATGTTGAATCATCCTTGCATCCCTGGAATAAATCCAACTTGGTCAGGATATATGATCTTCTTAATGATCCCCTGTATTCTGTTTGCTAGTATCTTATTAAGGATCTTTGCATCTCTATTCATTAAGGAGAGTGGCCTGTAGTTCTCTTTTTTTTTTTTTTTTTTTTTGGGGGGGTTTTTACTGCTTTGGGAATCAAAGTAACTCTTGTTTCCAGAAATGAATTTGGAACTATTGCTTCCCTTTCAATTTCATTGAAAAGTTTAAAGAGTAGTGGCAGTAGTTCTTCTCTAAATGTCTTGTAAAATTCAGCAGTGAATCCATCAGGACCTGGGCTTTTCTTTGTTGCTAAACTTTTAATTACATTTTAAATTTCACTGATTATAATTGGAATGTTCAGAATTTTTTTATCTTCATTCAACTTTGGTAATCCATAAGTATCTAGAAATAGGTAAATTTATTCTGTGTTTTCCATTTTATTAGAGTACAGGTTCTCAATGTAGGTATTGATGACCTCTGGATTTCTGTTGGATCTGTTGTGACTTCACCTTTTTCATTCCCAATTGCATAGATCTGAGCCTTTTCTTTTCTTTTTTGATAAGGTTAGCTGAGGGTTTATCAATTTTATTTATCCTTTCAAAAAACCAACTCTTTGATTCATTGATGTTTTGTATTGTTTTCTTAGTTTCCATTGCATTGATTTCTGCTGTAATCTTTATAATTTCCTCTCTTGCATGAGCTCTGGGTTTTTCTTGCTCTTCTTTTTCTAGGACTCTAAGATTCATCATTAGGTTGTTTATTTGAGCTTGCTCTGCTTTGCTAGTATGGGCATTCACTGTTATGAACTTTCCCCTGATGCTTTCATTGTGTCCCATAGATTCCCATATGTTTTATGGGTATTATCATTTATTTGTAAAAACTGTCAACTTTCTTCAATTTCCTTGTGACCCATTGATTGTTCAGGAGAGTGTTGTTCAATTTCCACGTGTTTGTGAAGTTCCTACAGTTTCTTATGCCCTTGATCTCCAGCTTGATTGCACTATGATCTGATAAAATACAGGGGATAGCTTTGATTCCTTTGCATTTATTCGAACCTGTTCTATGAGCTAGGGTGTGGTCTGTCTTGGAGAATGATCCATGTGCAGCTGAAAAGAATGTATATTCTAATTTTGTGGAGTGGAACACTATAGACATCTATTAAGTCCATATGTTCAAAAGCTTGGTTCAGTTCTGGTATTTTGTTGTGATTTTTTGCCTAGATTATCTGTCTATTTGTGAAAGTGGGGTATTTAGATCCCCCACTACAATTGTATTAGTGCTTATTTGGTTTTTCATGTTTCTTAATATTTGATTTATATAGTTGGGGGCATTAATATTTGGTGCATATATGTTTATGGTTGTCGTCTCTTCCTCTTGCATTGTTCCTTTTACAAGGATGTAGTGGCCTTCTTTGTCTCTCTTAATGAGTTTTGGTTTGAAATTTACTTTGTCTGGGAATAAGATTGCTACCCCTGCTTTTTTCTGGGATCCTGTTGTGTGGAGAATTGTTTTCCATCCTTTCACTTTCAGTCTATCGGCTTCTTTTTTGCACTAAGTGTGTTTCTTGTATACAATATATTTTTGGATTTTGCTTTTTAATCCATTCTACCAGTTTATTTCTCTTGATTGGTGAATTGAGGCCATTGACATTGATGATTATAACTGATATGTTCTGACATTATTGTCATGTTATTGTTCTTTGGTTGACTCTTTTTACATTTCCCCCTCTCCTTTTAGTTTCTTGCCTTTCTTGTTTGATTTGTTCTCTTGGGTCTCATGGTGTTGTGGCCTTCATTCTTTCTTTGGAAAGAATTCAATTGCTTTGAAACAACTTGTTGATTCATGATTGTTAGTATTCAATTTACTGAGAAGTTATCCTCATACCGCCATTGTAATTATAGGTTAAATAATATTATAAATTTCCTTTAATTTTTTTTTAACATGAAGACTTAGTTTAATGTGCATAGAAATTTTGGTGTTTTATTCTACTGCATATATTTTACTTCCCATGTCCATATTACCTTGACTTTTATTTTTATGGTATATTTTCTGTCCCTGCGGATGGGCAAGAATAAATTATGCTTGTGTGAATGTCCTATTTCCAGAGACCAACAACAGATCTTTTCAAAGAAGATATAATTAATGGAGTGTGGTGTTGCATGGTGGTAATCTCAGCAGTCAGTAGGATCACCAGAGGCAGGAGGATCACCACATGTTCAAGGCAAACCTGGGCTACATACTGAGGTCAAGGCCAGCCTGCATGCAAAGCGAAACTCTCAAAAAAAAAAACAAAAAAGAAGATACGATAAATCTTGACAACAAATCTGTCCATAAACTACAAATAATGATGTATTTTATTGGTAAGAAAAATCTCAATACAACTTCTGACAAGAGTGAATATATTTAAGGGGATTGACTAATATTCATTGTGCAGTTAGACATCTGATTTCATTTTATTCCATGAAGCTATGCTTTATATTCTGTCTTTGGTAACCACTACTTGTCATATCTTGGAAGCTAAAAAAATGTAGTGAAGGGAAATCTCACTCATAGAAGTATGTATTAGTAGTCTTGGTACAAAGAGCTTAAATTTGCAGATTATGTCAAATATCTATCTGTCTATCATCTATCTGTCTATCTATCTCTATACGTGTGCATGTACGTTAATAATTTCATTGTAAAAAATGTCTGCCATAAGTCACATGTATTTGAAAGGTGATTTGGTTATGGAGGCCCCAAGCTCATCACTGCAACCATCCATTATTTGAATGACATGGAAGTGTGAATTCTTGTTTCACCTTCTTCTCTTCTCTCTCTCTCTACTTCCTGGCTACTGTCATGTGAACAACTTTCTTTTGCCAGACCCTTTCACCATGCTGTTTCTTTTTTTTAGGTACTGGGAATCGAATATGTGTCCTCGTGCTTGCGAAGCAGGTGGTGGAACCACTGAACTAAATCCCCAGATCACCATGCTGTTTCTACAGTGAAGATGGTTGACATGGAATGAATCCACTGAAACTGTGAGCCAAAATAAACTTCACATTATTTAAGTTGTGAATGATGGGTGTTTTGTCCAATCACAAGAATACTGATTAATACATCAGTTTTAGAGATACAAGTATAGAATATCTTTTATTATAATCCTAAGGACCTTTCTCTGATGTTTGAAGTATATAACATGTCCCTTCAACAGTATAAGACTTGGCCCAACTGTTAGCATGAGGCTAAATCTGCTATTCAGAATCTCTCTCTCTCTTTTTTTTTGGTACCAGGGATCAAACTCAGGTCCTTGCACTTGGGAGGCAAGTGGTGGCACTACTGAGCTAAATCCCCAATCCTCTTTTTTTAAAAACATACTTTACTATCTAAATACTAAAATATTTTCCACAACATGTTGGATATTGTTCTCCATTAGTACAAAAGAAGCTAAAATTTCTATTTTTTTTTTTTATATTTTGTGGATACCATGATAAACGGAAAAAATCAATGAGAAGCACATTAAATACTTTCATCCTTGTGAACATAATAGTTTAATTAAGTTTACTTATCTTAAGGAACCTTCCATTAGTCATCAGTTTGCTAGTGATATCACCTAAATAGATGTTTTATAACACAACATTGAGTATCTCCTGTAATACAATACAGGACTAACATAGTATCAGTGTTCTACAACTTGGAATGTTTGGCTGACTCTATTCCAATAAATTCCTGGCTCTGATTATCATTGATTTTCATAGCGCATTTTGTAATGCCAGGTGGAGATCACAAGTCCAAGCTGAGAGGTATTTTCTCTGAGCACATTTACTTTCACACCACATTAATACAAAAATTCTCCTAGTCATCATCTTGAACACTTGTAAGCTACTTAGGAGACTGAGTCAGTAGTCCCACAATTTGGAGGTCTATCAGGGCAACTTATTGAAACTAAGTATAAAAATAAAATATAAAAACTGGGATATATCTCAGTCATAAGATAAAGATTGGTTCATTTCCCAGTGCTGAAAACAATATTAATTCAAACCTTCAACTTAGTAATGATGTAATGAAGTTTATCTCACTTATAATATAAAAATTCAAGACTGGCACATTGCTATAGTTCCTTAATCTCAGGGAGGGGATATTGAGGGGAGGAGGATTATGAATCAGAAGTTTCTCTACTAATGTGCCTTACTTAACTAGCTATATAATGATTTATTTTGTATACCCTTTGTGAGAATATAAATATGACTAGGTAAATTGTGATATTATGAACCTAGAAGGGGCACAGACAGCACAACTTGCAGTCAAGCTTTTTTTGTTGTTGAGAAGATATTTTTGTTGTAGAGAATTTTTAGCACCAGTTGTATAACTTCTGCATAGATTAGAAACATAAATATTAAATGTGAATAATTGAGGAATTCTATATTCTTAGTATAGAAATATGGAACAGTTCCTTAAGTGCTGGTGTATTTTTGTTAGAAAAGTAAGGCGACAATCTATGGTGAAATTTCTACTTCTAAGACTATGGAGGACAAAGCAGAAAGTAATTTCTTTGGATTAAACATCACATTTATTCATAAAAATTTAAAGGCATAATTCACCCTTTTCTAATGGTTAAAACTTTGCACAAAATTTGTCATATGTGTCTGATGTGTCCTTATATTAGGGAGATAAATAAGAATAGTTGACATATGTGAAATTCCTTTCATGTCCTTTTTTAGTATATGTGCTTCCAAAATATTTAAATTATCTACAAAACACCTAAATCTATTTTCTTTTCACAGCACTTCTGTATGATTTAACTTCAGCATTGGTATGAAACTGCAGGGAAAAATTATTAAATAAAAATTAAAATCATTGCTTTGTTTATTTCTTTAGCATTTTGCTATGTTCACTGCATATATTATATAATTTCATTACTGTTAGTATTACACATAACCATCCTATCATCCAACATTTTCACTTCCATGTTATGGAGAAAGTCAAGTAGTAAGAGTGTAGGCCTTTGTCAGTTCCACACACTGCATAGAAACCAATTCTTTCAATGGATGACAAAATATTAACCATTTGTCTGCAGCACTCAGGAATGTCAAACTTACATTGTATATGTTTGATGTTACTATGCACTTTTAGCAATATTATATTAATATGATTCTAATATAATTATAATAGAGAACATTTAGTTTCTGATACAAGAAAAATGTCTTGATATTACAGTTTGGGTTTAGATGACCCCCCAAGAGATGGCCATAAGGAAAATTTAGGACAGGATGTGCAATCTTCCTGGTGATGAGAAGACTGACGGTATCTGCATACCTGCACTGACCATCCTGGGAACCTTCACCACAAGCATTCCACCCTAGATTCCTCAGAACAACCCCCCTTCTCAGATCCTGTAAAACTTAACTTTTCCTCTGGTTGAGTGCTGACATCTTTCTCTATCTCAGCCTGTCTACACCTGGACAGGATTAATCAACCCCTTTGTTCCCACAAAGCCTGTGGCTGGGTGGTCTCTCATGCACCTTTATTATAACTGGTATCAAAACCTGGGATAAAGTACTCTTCCTTGGAGGGGCTTATACCCTATCCTAAGCCTTTTGTCCTATTGAGGCCATCCAGTGACAATGGTCCCTAGACCTTGCTTCAGTGCTCCAGGCAGCTTCTGCCACTCCAAACAGTTCAGATCAGGTAGTTTTCTCTCTGCCTCTTAGCCACCTCAGCTCTGCTTTTCCATTTTCCCCCTGGACCATTTTAGATGCCAAACTTTGGGTAACTCCTGTGGTGGAGAGTAAGTTCATCCATATCCCAATTGATACAGGGGCCTCTCATTCCACCCTTCCTTCTTCCCAAGAACTGGTCTTTCTGGCCCCAACTGCTGTTGTGGGCGTTGCTATTGTGGACAGCAAAGTCTCCAGACCTTTTAGGACACCCGCAATTTGGTGTCCCTTGTGCTAACACCTTTTCCCATTTGTTCTTGGTTATTCCATGTGTCTCATTCCCCTTTTTGGATGAGACATGTTGACCGAATTTTCAGCTACTCTGACCATCTCTGGGATACAGCCAACACCTATAACTGCCCTAATATCTCCTTTCTGCCCTTTCCGTGTGGCTCCCATCATCTCAACTCTGGAGTCTGGGATACTTGAATGGAGGTAGAAAGACCAAACCAGGGGATAATATAAGGTAGGAGGGAGTTAATAGCTGAGGCTTTTCTGAGCTAGTGGGAAAGGCCTCTACCCACCAAATGATGGCATCAAGCCAGATCAGGAGGTACCTTAATTTTTACACTTGTGGCATGTGAGTGAAATCAATTTTCCAGTCCTGAATTGGGCAGAAGCTACATGTTTGATGTGTAAGAAAAGGAGGGGGCTTCAGGAAGCCCTGAGATGTGTTTGCATGGTAAACAGGACATTAATCAATGATAGTTTTGAGGAGGGTTTTCCAGGAGGAAAAGCAGATAAGAGGCTCAACTAGTTGTGATAGGAGTCTATAACCTGTGCGAAAGTAGTCATGAAAGGATTACAAAATGATGTGGGCCTGTGACACGGGAGGGAAGACCTTTCCCTGACTTGGGAATGATCCATCTTTGGTGGGAAAGTTCCAGTACTGTTGGTTCTCAGAAGGGGAGTAACCTGGGATGTTGAGACTACCCAAGTGAAATCCTCTGTCATGTCAGATCTGTTTTTACTTTTCATGCAACTATGGAAGTTAGCCCAAACATACTCTCATCCTCTTTTTATTAACCATCTCTGTTCTTATTCTGGACTCCCTGGAACCATTTCTAAAGGGAATAAGCAACTGATGCTGTGGTCACAATTCCTGAGTGATACATTTTGTCTTTCTCATGAACTTTTGCACAAAACTGGTGTACCCTTTGCAAGGATTTTGCTTTAACAAAGATTCAGAGCCAAAATATTGTACAACAATGCTCCTCAGGCCTGACAGCGGTGGTCATTGGCTCTCTGCATGGGGTTAGTCCAAAGGCTTTGGACCTAATAAAATTTGACAAATAGATGTTACTTATGTCCTTAGTTTTGGTCTTTTATTATATTACATGTCTGTCTTGATATGTGTACAGGAACAATACATGCAACTATACAGTGGGGAAAAACTAGTTCTCACATTATTTCTCATTTTCTTAGCTGCTTTGCTCACACTGGTCTCTAAAATAAATTTAAGACAAATAAGGGCCCTTTGTATACTGCTGTCTGTTTTCAGGCTTTTTTGAAAGCATTGG